AACCAGTCTGCCAAGTGAATGATTTAATGACTCACTCACAAACACAGACATGTTTTAGTCGGGGATTAATCCGCGTTTTTGAACGAATCGGTTGAGGAAACGATTCAAAGTGAAGTGACATGTGGCCAAGTATGGTGGACATACTGTTTGGTTTTTATGGCTGTCCATAAGCTATGTATTTGTATTTATACCACAGTTCAATAAACAATAAGTTAATATTGAGACACTTGCCTGTTTCTCCTCCGTCAAAGAAAACAGTTCCAAACAAAGCAACAGCAATCCTTACTTGTCTCTTGCACCACACAGTAAATGTGTTTACTTCCTGAATGAATGAACATTTTTGAACCAGTCTGCCAAGTGAATGATTTAATGACTCACTCACAAACACAGACATGTTTTAGTCGGGGATTAATCCGCGTTTTTGAACGAATCGGTTGAGGAAACGATTCAAAGTGAAGTGACATGTGGCCAAGTATGGTGACCCATACTCGGAATTAGTGCTCTGCATTTATCCCATCCAAAATACACACACACCCGGAGCAGTGGGCACTGGGCAGCCATTTTTTTGCTGCGGGCCCGGGGAGCAGTTGGGGGTTCGGTGCCTTGCTCAAGGGCACCTCAGTCGTGGTTTTGAAGGTGGGAGAGAGTGCTGTACATTCACCCCCCCCCCTACACACTCATAAATGCAGCAGTTACTTGTTTCGTTTATGAATGAATTCGTGTTTGTGAAGGAATTATTCAAAAGACTCACTCATAAAAACAGTTACATGTCGCCACCTTCTGACGAAATATAACCTGCAGAAAGATTATATATACATGAAGAGTTCAGATGCGAAAGAAGTAATTTCACTTAATGAAAAGGACCTATTCATTGCCATTAAAGTGAAATAACTGAACATAAACATTGGAACCTGATCAAATGCTCAAATTTCAAACGGTGCTTAGAGGCTTTCGCATCTGAACTCTTCATAGATAGATTTATATGATATATATATACAGTATATATATATATATATATATATATATATATATAATGAAATGACAAGAATTAAGAATTATTATAACATTTATTATTATTATTATAACAAAATTCAACATGCTCTTCAGTTGTATTCATGTCAGTGGGCCTCAGTGAGCCGAGGGTGTTGGGAGCTCTCGGGAGTTTGCAGAGGATTGGCCAAATCAGAGACCATTGAACAGATCTGCTGTTTCTGCCCCATTTCTTTCTTTAGATTATCCAGATCACTCTCTCTCCTTTTCAGTCTCATCTGTGAGGTCCGTTTCTTCACTGCTGGGGTCTATGAACACACACACAGAGTAAAAAATAGGGCTGTCAATAGGGCTCATTTCAATAAAATTAATTATGCATGACATATACATTTTTTTTAATGAATATTTGCTAAGAAAAGCCCCCAAATGGAGATAATTCAAATTCATAACATTATTGTGGCAGACAAAAGTATTAAAACGATGCATTCTTGTATTTTGTCTGTGCTGTTTTTAATAGGTCTAACATCAAACGAACAGGAACAGATTCATGCTCCATTTATAGCAGTGAGATTATGAGCTCAGGAAAGAACAAAATTGGTGGTGCTGCTGAAAAATCTATTAATTGCACAGTGTGGAGTTTCTCTGTAAAACCCCAGGCAGCCTGTGGCAGACAGCATGGATTTAGACCTTTGCATATGTTCTGGAGATCAAACACACATACTCTTGCATCGGAGCACTGATTCAAAACCAATCCACTGTTGCCACTACCACGTACCTTTTCATAGCTTTCATTTGGTATACAGTTGTGATGGCCCACTCTTCCACTCTTTCTGTCCGTTCTCTCCGTACTAAGGCTCTGTAGAGAAAGTGTTTATTATAGACGGCGCTGGGTGAACTACGAACCCCATGAAGGTAGCTCTCTATAGAGAGACAGGAGACAGTATGTCTGAAATGGTAAAAATGCTGACTTATCATGTCTTTAAATAGGCAAATAAATCAGTTAATTTGTGAGTAAAAGCATCATAGTTTTATAGACTTCGTAACTGGCAATGTATTTTCCCGATTGTTTGTTTTTTACCAACTAAGGGACGAGTCAGAATTGTTTATGTCTGCAAGTCAGAATTGCAAGCCTCATGCAAGTTTGTTCAGGGAAAGCGCAACTTTTTAATGTTTTATTTTTTTCTCTCTATCACAAAGTTAGTGTCAGTCAGACTTTCTCACTTTCTACGTTAGCTTGTATGTGTGATACCCTATTATTTCTGTTGGTAACACTGTGTTCCTGCTGGTTTCTCTGTAGCTGGTTGATGCTGTCCTGTAGAGCCTGCCGAAGCTGTTCTGTCTCTTGTCTCTGAGTCTCCAGTTCTGCCTTCACACTCTCAAGCTTGGCCTGCGTCTGGAAACCCAGCACCTGGCTCTCTCTGAAAGATAGTTGTTAGATAGTTGTCATCATCAATATAATATGATATAATAAAATAATATGATATGATATGATATATGATATGATATGATATAATATAATATAACATGCATTGTTTTTGACAGCAAACACAAAAAATTTATTAGTAATGATGCTGAAAATTCAGCTTTGCCATCACAGGAATAAATTCCATTTTAAAATATATTTAGATAGAAAACAGTTGTTTTAAAGTGTTAAAATATACAGTATTACAGTTTTTTTTAATATATTTTGAATCAAATAAATGTAGCCTTGGTGAGCAGAATAGACTTATTTTTAAAAAAAAATTAAATCCTACAGATTTAAAACTTTTAAATGTTCAAACACATACAGTGACCTCAAAAACTACATTTAAGTGAGACTTAAAATACATAAAATGCTCTGCAACTGGAAAAAAAATCAAACTCTTAACCATTTAGTCCCAAGATAAACTATATAGTAAAGTCTCACTATATTTGACACTATACTGGGCTTTTTAGACCACTGTATTTACAGTTACAGGCATCAAACTCTATAATACCAGCTGATAATGCAATACCAACATTTTGCCACAGGGAAGCAGTCTCTAATCGAAGGAGACAGTTTGGGGAGCATAGCATAGCTTGTACTATTTGAATTACCATGAACAAAGAATTGGACCCTCTTTCAATAATTGAACTGATTTTCCTCTCTTGATCTTCTAATGGCCTGGATTGATGCCAGAAGTCTGAATGGAGCAGATGCCAGCTGGAATTCATCCACCCACTTCATATAGTGATCAGCACTGATGAGGAAGATGAGGATCATTTCAAATATTACGTGGGGCCACTGGTATTTTGCTGATAATCTGATTCTACATTCAAAGAAAAAAAGTCAACAAATATAATGTAAATTGGGTACTTCAGATGGATTCATGTGATCCTATCTGCTTGTATAATGAAATTTAATGATCACTTCCAGGAGCCTTCTTTTATTGAAAACTGTCCATTATGTTTTTCTATTCTCCTCTACCCACAACAAGCAAGTTGTGTGACAGTAATTCAGACAAAACGATGAGGAGAGACTTGATGCCTGTCTACACAGCACTGAGTGTATTTAATTAGCGTAATACATCACAGTTTTTTCTGAATCTCTACCCTGTTGTCAGATGGCTCTGTAAATGAGGAACAGATGTGAGGAACAAAAAGTACTAAGGTAATTCTTCCTTAGAAAAGAGACTATGTGTGGAGAACAGTTGGGAAATGATCCCACACAATGGATTAATGTTAAATCCAAAGGCATGTTTGTTGTTAAACACCAGATTGTTTGCACTCTTTCATATAACTGGGAACAGGGATGTCTTTTAATACCTCAGATATTATATGTCTTTAAAATTAGATATGTAGAGATTTACTGGTGGTGACATATTGATATAATTCCAAACCACCATATTTGCCATTGCTGAGTGATATAAATATAGATATTAATTAATATAAATATTAATAAATGTATCTTTAATTAAACTTAGGTTTGTTACACTGGAATCTGGAACTGGGTGCAGACTAGCTGAGGACATACTGTTTGGTTTTTATGGCTGTCCATAAGCTATGTATTTGTATTTATACCACAGTTCAATAAACAATAAGTTAATATTGAGACACTTGCCTGTTTCTCCTCCGTCAAAGAAAACAGTTCCAAACAAAGCAACAGCAATCCTTACTTGTCTCTTGCACCACACAGTAAATGTGTTTACTTCCTGAATGAATGAACATTTTTGAACCAGTCTGCCAAGTGAATGATTTAATGACTCACTCACAAACACAGACATGTTTTAGTCGGGGATTAATCCGCGTTTTTGAACGAATCGGTTGAGGAAACGATTCAAAGTGAAGTGACATGTGGCCAAGTATGGTGACCCATACTCGGAATTAGTGCTCTGCATTTATCCCATCCAAAATACACACACACCCGGAGCAGTGGGCACTGGGCAGCCATTTTTTTGCTGCGGGCCCGGGGAGCAGTTGGGGGTTCGGTGCCTTGCTCAAGGGCACCTCAGTCGTGGTTTTGAAGGTGGGAGAGAGCGCTGTACATTCACTCCCCCCCACCTACAATCCCTGCCGGTACGAGACTCGAATCCGCAACCTTTAGGTTACACACTCATAAATGCAGCAGTTACTTGTTTCGTTTATGAATGAATTCGTGTTTGTGAAGGAATTATTCAAAAGACTCACTCATAAAAACAGTTACATGTCGCCACCTTCTGACGAAATATAACCTGCAGAAAGATTATATATACATGAAGAGTTCAGATGCGAAAGAAGTAATTTCACTTAATGAAAAGGACCTATTCATTGCCATTAAAGTGAAATAACTGAACATAAACATTGGAACCTGATCAAATGCTCATTTTAGAAGAAAATTTCAAACGGTGCTTAGAGGCTTTCGCATCTGAACTCTTCATAGATAGATTTATATGATATATATATACAGTATATATATATATATATATATATATATATATATAATGAAATGACAAGAATTAAGAATTATTATAACATTTATTATTATTATTATAACAAAATTCAACATGCTCTTCAGTTGTATTCATGTCAGTGGGCCTCAGTGAGCCGAGGGTGTTGGGAGCTCTCGGGAGTTTGCAGAGGATTGGCCAAATCAGAGACCATTGAACAGATCTGCTGTTTCTGCCCCATTTCTTTCTTTAGATTATCCAGATCACTCTCTCTCCTTTTCAGTCTCATCTGTGAGGTCCGTTTCTTCACTGCTGGGGTCTATGAACACACACACAGAGTAAAAAATAGGGCTGTCAATAGGGCTCATTTCAATAAAATTAATTATGCATGACATATACATTTTTTTTAATGAATATTTGCTAAGAAAAGCCCCCAAATGGAGATAATTCAAATTCATAACATTATTGTGGCAGACAAAAGTATTAAAACGATGCATTCTTGTATTTTGTCTGTGCTGTTTTTAATAGGTCTAACATCAAACGAACAGGAACAGATTCATGCTCCATTTATAGCAGTGAGATTATGAGCTCAGGAAAGAACAAAATTGGTGGTGCTGCTGAAAAATCTATTAATTGCACAGTGTGGAGTTTCTCTGTAAAACCCCAGGCAGCCTGTGGCAGACAGCATGGATTTAGACCTTTGCATATGTTCTGGAGATCAAACACACATACTCTTGCATCGGAGCACTGATTCAAAACCAATCCACTGTTGCCACTACCACGTACCTTTTCATAGCTTTCATTTGGTATACAGTTGTGATGGCCCACTCTTCCACTCTTTCTGTCCGTTCTCTCCGTACTAAGGCTCTGTAGAGAAAGTGTTTATTATAGACGGCGCTGGGTGAACTACGAACCCCATGAAGGTAGCTCTCTATAGAGAGACAGGAGACAGTATGTCTGAAATGGTAAAAATGCTGACTTATCATGTCTTTAAATAGGCAAATAAATCAGTTAATTTGTGAGTAAAAGCATCATAGTTTTATAGACTTCGTAACTGGCAATGTATTTTCCCGATTGTTTGTTTTTTACCAACTAAGGGACGAGTCAGAATTGTTTATGTCTGCAAGTCAGAATTGCAAGCCTCATGCAAGTTTGTTCAGGGAAAGCGCAACTTTTTAATGTTTTATTTTTTTCTCTCTATCACAAAGTTAGTGTCAGTCAGACTTTCTCACTTTCTACGTTAGCTTGTATGTGTGATACCCTATTATTTCTGTTGGTAACACTGTGTTCCTGCTGGTTTCTCTGTAGCTGGTTGATGCTGTCCTGTAGAGCCTGCCGAAGCTGTTCTGTCTCTTGTCTCTGAGTCTCCAGTTCTGCCTTCACACTCTCAAGCTTGGCCTGCGTCTGGAAACCCAGCACCTGGCTCTCTCTGAAAGATAGTTGTTAGATAGTTGTCATCATCAATATAATATGATATAATAAAATAATATGATATGATATGATATATGATATGATATGATATAATATAATATAACATGCATTGTTTTTGACAGCAAACACAAAAAATTTATTGAAAATCCACTGAATACTGAGGAAGAGAGGTAATATTTTCTTTGTATCTTATTAACATTATAATATAAAATAATGATATGCATCATTTTATGTTATATTATTGTTAATTTAACATAATACATTATACAACTATAATTGTATATACAAATGAATATTAAATATAATATGCATTGTGTTATGTTATATTATTTTTTTGACATGAAACACTCTAAATAGGAAGAGAGGGAGTTTATAGTGTCTTTTCTTAATATCTTAATATAAAATAATGAAACAGTGAGAAAGAGGGATGGAATTATTTGTCATGAGTGTGTGCTTTTTCTTTTGTTTGCACCTGAGTGTGTGTATATCTCTCTGGTTCTCCTGCAGCAGTAGTTCTTGTTGTTGGCTTTGTCTGTTCTGTAGATCAAGGCGGGTTCTCAAAAACTCCAGGTCTGTTTGTCTCATAGAGACTATGTGCTGTCTCTCGTCGGGAGGTAGGTGCTTTAAACTAGCACAGCCTGACAGCTCACCGTCGTTGAGCTCCAGAGCCTCATGCAGCACGCGCGCTAGCTCCAGGTACTAAACCAAAGACCAAAAATAATGATTCACTAAAGCAAACTCAAAATAGAGCACAATCTCAGGGCCACAGATGCATGTTTCACACAATTTAGTTTGAATGCGTACTACACTCACTGTTGTCTCACTGAGCTCCAGAGCATCAGACATGTCCAGTCTGGCTGTACGCTCTCGTGCTGCCTCGGTCAGAGCTTCAGGGAACGCAAAACCACTCTGTGTGAATCATAAAAGCACATGTATAACACACTTCACAGTAACATACACATACAAAAGTCTGAGACCATTTAAATATTTATAAGTTTATGAAACAGATGATAATGTTTCAACATTTGAGAGTGATCCAAAGAGCATCTTGAGTTTCAGTGGAAACAAGAACATTTGACTTTTAGTTTAAAATGGTTCACATGGTCGGTCTCAAATTTGCTTATTTGATAAGTAACCTAAAATGGTGCACAATCTCGAATATATTCTTATTCAGTATTCTTCCAGTTTGATAATGATAACTTGAATTCTAATTTTTGTAATGAGAAATTTGAGTCAGTTGATGATCCTTTTTTTTAAATGTCCCTGTATCATACAATTTTGGTCTGAACTGACCAGATTCTTCACTTTGAAAGCTCAGTGTTACTAATGAAACTGTGATCATAATTTAGAATAATTAAGAAATGTAATAATTTTATTAGCAAAATATTACATAAATTAACAAGTATGCCCAAATTTGATCATCTTCTTTAATTATTTAATTGTGACATTTAAGAAACTTAACAAAGAAATAAATACAAATTGTTAAACTGTATAACAAACTTTTAAATGTATTTTTTCTTATTTCATATACTTATTTCAGTGCTTTTCTTTATGGTTTCATGAAAGATATAAAGAATATTTTTTCCTCTGCTGTCATAAAGTGTTGACGGATATGTTTATTCTAATTTTGCAATAAAACATTCTAGTTCAATATGTAAGTCTGAGTGTGTAAAGCGAATACCACAGAACTGATGGATCCTCTCCGAGCTGCAGATCTCTGAAGTCTCTGAGTCTTCTTCTGACCCTGTCTCTCTGGCTCCCCCTGCTGGGACGGACGCTCTGTAAACAGTACAGAGGAAAAGTGATAATGTAGGATAATGTTGGCCTGAATTAGATCAGATAAGGATAGCCAGATTCAAAGGTTTGATCATTAGTTATAAGGGATTATAAGACTCACTGCTAGGCCACTTCTGTTCAATAGCTCTGATTCGCTCTCTCATGTCACGCAAACCTTCCTGCTGTTGAAGAATCGCTTCCTCGCGGCGATGACCTTTGTGTTTTGACCCCTGATTGATGACATCATTAGGAGCTGTCATGACTGCCACATCCTGAGAAAACAACATCCATATAACAGTTAGCAAAGTGTCAAAGTGTTTGTGTGACTTCTTTCTCTCTTTGTTGCCCATTTTTTCTTATGAATGTATAATACTGTTCAAAAAATTTGTGGTCGGTCAGAATTTTTAAGACTTTTTTTGTTTGTTTTTGAAAGAAGCCTCTTACCAAGGCTACGTTGTTGGTGTTTTTATGTAAAAACAGTAATATTGTGAAATATTATTACAATTTAAAATAACTGTTTTCTGTTTTAATACTGTATATTTTCATCTGTAATTTATTCCTGTGATGGCAAAGCTCAGTTTTCAGCATCATTACTCCAGTCTTCAGTCACGGGATCCTTCAGAAATCATTCAAATATGCTGATTTTGGTGCTCAAGACATGTTTCTTATGATTCATGTTGAAAACAGTTGTGCTGGTAAATATTATTTTCAGAATTCTTTGATGAACAGAAATTTCAAAAAAGCTAGTATCAGGCACATTTTGTGCCTCAGTGGGACTCATTCAGCGAATATGTTTTAATATCCTGTTATCATTCAGAAAAAAAGAAAAACAAAGAAAGTGTATACATCCTCTACATGTCAAAAGTAATAAATCATTTAGATAAATGATTGTCCAGTTTGGTGGCAAACTCACTTTAGTGTTTCTTGAGGTTTGAAGTGGAACAAGGCTTGTGTTCTCCATCTCTCTGTATGCTGCTGCTTTACTTTTCGAATCCTCTTCAGTTTGTCTAACAAAAATGATTTAATGCATCAGTTTATGTCTGAATTTTGCGAGGCCAATGTACTGTGTCATTTTTGGTCATACCTCAGTTTTTCTCTCAGTTTCTTTGTCTCTTCATCTTTCTGTTGCACTAGTTGTGACATCATGGTTAGCTTCTGTGTGAGCATGCTCAGTTGAATCTTCTGGTCTACCACCAAAGCTTTATGACTTTCCAACTCTAACTTCTGCTGTTCACTAAGTTCTCCTACACAGAGAGACACACGCTCAGAAACACAAAAACTACAACATATTGATCTCGTATTGTGTTAATTGTGAAGCACCTGTCATATCAGAGAGCCGAGCATGAGCCTGGGCCAGGTCACGACTTAGGGCATTTATGATCTCACTCTGACTGACCACTTCCTGTTGGGATGAGACTAGAGATGCCCTGCAAGACCAATTAAAAACCTTCTTATTCTGAATACAGTAGATTCCGTTTGAGTATGGTATAGGTTGTTTAATGAAAATAATAAGTCATTCATGAACACTCCTGATCATTTTTAATGAAAAAAATATCACTAAATGAATCATTTAAAAAAAGCATGTATACATTGTCTGTGGTTATCATTATAATTTAGGAGATTTTAGCATTTTGACAGTAATTGTATAGTAAAAATGAAAGGAAGTAGAAAAAGATACATATTTGCAGCTACAATTTAACAGTGCCTGATCTATGAGATGATTTAAAGAGCGAGACATGGACTGTGTAATTAGTTATTAAGCAAGAGTTTCATAAATAATGCAGGAATAAATAATTAACCTCATGCATTATTCATTAACAAGAGCACAGTGTATGGATATTATCCTTCTCACGGTGACAGAGTAAGGGAATCGGTTTACACAGTAACTTATGCAATAAATAAATCGCTAAGCTACAATCTTATATACGCCCAGAGCTGTTGCAACTGGTTTCCAAAGCAGGCCTACTGGCTAAATTGGAGAAATATTTACCATAAAAATATACAACATCGATTTTGAAAGATGGGGAATGCAGTGATGGTATTCATGAGAGCTTTATTATACCGGAGGGATGTTATGGTTTGATCCGGTTCCTGTTGTTTTTCTGATGTGTAAGATGTGCTGTTGCTTTCAAAGCCCCCCAGCCTACCGAGCTCCTCTGTGGGACAAGTACAACCAGGGAAAACATGATAATGAACACAGAACACATGTGTAGGACACATAAAATCTGTTCCACAAATTAGTTTTAATTAGGAACCTAAGGCTGTTGAGAAGCTGCCCTCAACAGATAACATATGAAACTGCAGGATTTAAAAAAAATTTTTTAACTGGTTTCTATATTTGTTAATTTCTTATATTTCTTGTATAAGCTAATACTTCTTTTTCATTTTAAATCATAATGTTTCGTTGTTTTAAATTTATTTATTTAAATGTACATTCAGTTCAATTATTTTCTGACATGTTTATGAGAGGCTGTGCTCACCTTTGAGTTGCTCCTTCAGTGAGTCTCTCTCCTCCTCAATCTCTTTCCATCTTTCCTCACTCTGCTGAGCTTTGTTTATTCGTGTCTCCATGGCAACAATGGTGTATGCATGTTGTCACACCTGCTCTCTGTACTCCTCTACCTCAACCCTGTGTTTCTTTCTCTCCTCTTCAGCTCCTCTCTGCAGGGCCTTGGCCTCTCTTTCCTCAAACTGCTTCATCTTCTCGCTCCTCTCCTCCTCTTTGAGATGTAATTCACGCAGTGTTTCTTTCAGCTCTGCCTCTCGTATCTTGGCTTCTTCCATCTTGGTTTGCCACTCGGCCTTGCGTGTCTCGATCTCCCTGCGCAGGGCACTCTTGGAAGGCAATAAAGTGATAGTCATGGAGTTGAACAACTTACATTGTGTGGTTCTGTATACTATGGATACCCATTTCCACATAAGAAAAAAAACAGCATGCTTTGGTAAGTCATAATTATGAGGGAAAAGCGTCATAATTGTGATATAAAAAGTGGAAATCATTAGATACTAAGTCATAATTCTGAGATGAAAAGCCTGATTTATGAAAAAAATCATAATTATAACACAAAAAGGCTAATTTTGTTATGACTTTATCTCATAATTTAACATTTTTTAAAAAAAATTACTTTTATCTCATACTTATGACGTATCTTATGATTAAGAATTTTTATGCCATAATTTGACTTTTATCTCATAATATCAGAGATAACCAATATGGCCATGTGCTGGAAACTGGGAAAAAGTAAAAAAATTATGAGATATTAAGATTAAGAACATTAAAATTATGATATAGTCATGATTATGAGATAAAATTCTAAATATACATAAATGTCATAATTATGAGATAAAAGTCAAAAATATGAGAAAGTTGTGTCTTTAAAAGTCAGTTATTATATAAAATGTGACTTTTATGTCATATTTATGAATGTCTTAGTCAACTTATTTTGTCATCATTATGATTCACTAAACCATTTTTTCATATGTGGCGGAAATTGACTTTCTAATGTGTCAAAAGGGTAGAAGCAAATAAACAATATGGTTATGTACCCACATATGGGTAAATACTTGGCAACTAGGCCCTTAGGCCCTGTTTACACTAGTGCGTTTTCGTTTTAAAAAGCATAACTTTTGCTGCGGTTACGCCTGTTGTTTATACTACTCCGGCGTTTTCGACCCTCGAATATGGAGACTTTTGAAAACATTGCAGACCCCGTTTTAGTTTGAAAACTCCGGGGTTGCATTTCAGTGTAAACAGACCAAAACGGAGACTTTTGAAAATGATGGCGTGGCTGCCCACATTCTGTCTGCGTATCCTTGACGACCGTGAAAACAATAACATCATGCTCATTGTTGTACCCATAGATATGTATCCAAGCTCCAAGCTCATAGACGCGTCCGCCATCTAAATAAAAGGAATCTACCTATACATATCTATGGTTGTACCTGCATGAATGGTCATGTGTGGTTGTGTAGTGTAGACGGAGATCGTTTCTGTGGAGACGAGAATCGTTTTCGTTTTAAAACTAAAACACACTAGTGTAAACAGGGTCTTAGAAACCAAATCAAATATAGATGTGGAGCAGGTGTTGTGAGTTGAGGTCAACTGTATTTCATTTAAGAGGATAAATTCAATTTTAGTTCAGTTTTCAGTTTTAACTCACCTCAGTCTGTCTCACTGACTGTAGATCAGCCATGACCACTTCCAGCTGTCGCATTAGTGCATTTTTCATCTCTCTCTGTCCCTCTGCTGCCTGAATCAATAACAGGTCAAAGGTCAGGAGAAACTTCAGTGAAACAGAATTTTATAGAGAGCTCAATTCATGAAATGAATCTAGTCCATCAGCTTGGAGTCAGTTCTCTGAAATACTTTCATTAATATACAAATTTCCATTGGAACCGGGATGAGTTTTATCTATAATTATAAAAACCGAAAAAGCTAAATGACAATCTAATTGAGACCATCCCTCAAGAGGTCTATGCCTCAGAGACTAAATGAAATGAGTTTAATTTGACTTGGTGTTTTTGGAGAGACAACAGTACCTGAAGTTTCTCCATCTCAAACTGCTTTTGCATGAACTCCAGCCTGCTGTGAAGATCTCTCCTCTGAATCTCTGTCTCCTGAACCTTGTCCCTCTCTGACTTCAGTGCAGGAAAGAAAGACATGTTTCTTTAGAATCACTTTCTGATTCTTTAACTGATTTTGAAATACTTTGCTGTAATACCTTTAGTTTCCTTAGCTCGGATTGGACGTCCATGTGGTCCTGGCACAAAATCTGTAAGGCGCCTGATATTCCTAGACAAAACAAATAATAACAATAATTCAGACTACTTTTCCGTAAAATGCGCTGAAATTTAATAACATTTCGACTTAATTTGTAATCCTGTAATACTGAAAGCAATATCACTTCTATTCTTGTCAAACCCAGTTCTCCTAAATCTCTCTAAACTTTCTATTTCTTACCTCCAGTCTTCAATGACACATCAACCCCTGCTATCTGTAATCTCTGAGCAGCATTCTGCAGTACTCTGTACAGGACGTTCAGTATAGAAAGTGAATGCTCCTGAATCCAGCTGAACGTAGGACCCAAATTCATGTTCTGCAGCCCAGATATTTCCCTCAGAACATTGTCCGCAACACATGCATCTTGTACTCGTCTCTATATACAAATGGAAAGAGATATTATATAGCTGTTCAACATGCTGTGCAATGCTGAAACACAAACATACAGCATTACATGGCATAATCAATGTTTCCACCTACTAATACCTGACATTCTTGCAGTCTGGCTCTAAATTTCTGGGTCTCATCCAACATTTCCCTCTGTGTGTGAGCTTCCTCTTTGAGTTTCATTTCAAAGTCATGCACTTTTGTTTTGTACATCGCCATCTGTTCCATTAACTCAGTTAAACAGTCCAACACCTGCAAAATAAAAACAAATCTAAAAAAAGTTTATCCAACAAAGAAATTTTGGCACAGATTTCTCACCAGCATGTCTGTCCAAACCAGCACATTTTTGAATATCCTGCCAACTCTTTTCAATATAATGACAGACTATGGACTGAAGCTGGCAAGCTATAAAAAAGCACCACAAAGATATCATACATGTGGTCCACCTAACTATATCTGATTCTCAAACAGTTAAGTCACATTCATATGTATGTAACACTTTATACAACACAGGTGTTCAAAGCAGCTTCACATTAATAAAACTAATTATTTCAAAGAAGCAACATTAATCAAACAGGAAAATAGCAGCTAATGTTGTAAAATTCTTCAATCAAGAAATGAATTTAAATTAAGCTGTAAAGCAGCTCTACAGAAGATAGTGTCATTATTCAGCTCAAGTCAGTTCAATGCTGATTTAATTCAGTTCAATAACAGTGTTGATTTTGCAAAGCTAGTGTCATTATCTAGCTCAATTATGTTAACATTTAGTTTTCCACAACACATAATTTATGTCTAAAGTTAAATGAAAAAGATTTTGTTGACATTTGTAAAAATGTATTGATAATTATCATTTCCATCACCTATACTGTTAACACGTTGACACTTTTTTTGCAAAACAATCCTCAAAAACTTGGCTTCTGATTGGCTTGAAATGTTCTCTTACCTTTTGGTCTGATTCTTTGTCAGAAACATGCACAGTCTTGACAATCTGGTCACGAAAATGGTCAAACTTTGAAGAAAATGCAGATACATTAGCGTAATAGATACCAGAGTAGTCATCTTACCAGACTGTTGTTGCTGTCTTGAGCTCACTCACCCTTGACTGGGTGTGTTTGAGTTCTTCTTGAACTCTCTGTTCTCTCTGCTGCGTCTGCTGATGAAGCTGCTTCAGTCTGTCTATGTCTGTCAGCAGAGAAGCCTGTTCCTGCAGCACACATCACACATGACACCAGATTTCATAACCTGCAATTGCCTGGCCCAGTGGCCTAATGGATAAGGCATCAGCCTCTAGAGCTGGGGATTGTGGGTTCAAGTCCCACCTGGGTCGTGGTGTCCAAGGGGCTGTATGTTTATTAAATCACATGGAGATCAGGACTGGGTGTGAGCAAAACAAAACATACTCACTTTCTTGAGCGATTCTACTTCATTCTGTCTGGCAAGTAGCTCATTCTGATGCTTCTGGGTGTCTTTCAGCTTTTAAAACAACACCAAACAAAATGAATAGTTATCTTCTATTGATAAAACATTTTAAAACAGCATCATTAAAACATCTACAGAGCTCAACGGCTGTAGAAAGAGGGATGCTGGAACCTTGTCCATCATGCTTGTGAGCTTGGCATCTTTGTGTCTGACGTCTTGCCTGAGCTTGTCCACCTCAGCTGCTAGTTTAAGAGCTTGTTTCTCTCGAGCAGACACATCTTTCTTTAAACTGCCAACCAACGCTAAATAAAGAAAAAAATTCAATAAAACACAAAGTAACTAACTGCTCAGATCTAAAAGGTTGGTGCCTGTGTGCAACAAATATGTTCTTGATAATTTCACTACAAAAATATAACAATTCATCTCAGTATTACACAAATGATCAAAAGTTTGGAGGTGGCAAGTTTTTTTTACTATTTTTGAAAGAACTCAACAAGGCTGCATTTTTTGATCAGAAATACAGAAAAAAAATAGTTAAATTGTAAAATTTTCAATTGTAATATACTGTATTGTAAAATGTAATTTATTCCTGGATGGTGAAACTAAATTTTCAGCAGCCATTACGCCAGTCTTCAGTGTCACATGATCCTTCAGAAATCATTCTAATATGCTGATTTGGTGTAATTTGGTGTAAGAAATAAGAACATTTCTTATTATTAATGTTGATTTTTTTTTTCCCCACAAAAATGTGCCATGTTTTTTCAGGATTATTTGATGAATATAAAGCTAAATATTATATTATATTATAAATGTCTTATAAATTCTTTTTTTTTTTTTTTATCTTACACACTCAAAATGTTCGAACTGTATATTAAAGGAAGTATAAAAATAATAATACTATATATGCTTAAACGTAATTTTATACATACAAATGTATATATAATAATATCATATTACATCTCATAGCAAATGTCAATATATGTCATAATTTTAAAAATGTCATAATTTTTCTACATTACTGTAATGTGAATAACCTCTCTCTCTCTCTCTCTCTCTCTCTATATATATATATATATATATATATCCCCCCTATATTATCATCCTCATACCTGCAGATGAATTATTTTCATTCCTCAATTTATCCATCTGTTCTAAAAGATTGCTGATCTTCTGATCTCTCTCTGTCACAGCCTGTCCGAGCATCTCTCCAGAACATCTCTGAAGTCCCAGCATCTACATCCATTAAAGAGACAAAGCAGTTATGGTAATAATTAATTAGCATGTGAAAGATTTGCGATGGATTTTCAAGAGAGAAGAAACATCTCCATCAAAATAAATAATGAAACTAATCCCTGTGCTACTTTTCCATCAACTTTTTTAAAAATATGTATCTATACCTTGCATTTTTCCCCATTCCACATTCTTTATACTGTGCTGCAATATGATCTATGTTGTAAAAAAATATATATAAAAACTCAAACAGCAAGAAAAAGTGCACTTTATTTGGGTTGTATCACAAAATCAGACCTGCAGCTTTTGTATTTGTGTATGACAATGAATCTAGCACTTCTCTAGGCCCCTTCATACACCCCTTCAAGATAGGGATGACCCGGGTATAAGACTTGAAGCTACAGTCTTCAGCTCCATCACAGTCACAAAACTGTAAATAATGTCAAATGTGAAGTAACAAAGGAGACTGTAATACCACACCTGCTCCTTTAGCTGTTGTATCTGATCTTTCTTCTCTTTGATGTCACTCTCCAGGCAGCGAAGTCTGTGTGTGACATCCAGATCACCCTGCTTCTTCTGTGACAGCTGGAGCCTGAGAGCTGACACTTCCTCCTTCAGGGCCATGATCGCATCATCCTTCCTTTGGGACTCGTCCTCAAAGCACAGAGACACACGAACGTGTCCATCTCCTAGCTGATGCAACCTCTCCTCCTGAGAAAGAACACAGGTACCAGTGTATTGTTTAAGCCTTTTAGCTTTGCAAGATGGCATAACAATAGCATGAACGGTCCAGCAAAGGGAGACTAGGGTGTTTTTAACAGGATGTTGAACTCACCTCCTCCATTGGCAAGACGTGAATGCTTTGAGAATTGTTAGGTTGAGACTTGTTTCTAAGATAACATGCTCTCCCTGTGTTACCACTCCAGCTTCCTGCAAAAAATACAAATTCTATAAATATTATTATATATTATTCACTTTCCCATCAGTTTGGTACAGTGTTGTTTTAGAAATAGCAATATATTGTACTATTATAGCTTTTATTGATATTTTGAATGAGCTTTTATTTTTATTTCAATTTTTTATTTAATTTTCATTTAATTTAATATAAAAATTTAAGTTTATATTGTTTTTGTTTCAGTTTTAGGTTTATTTCAGTTTTAGTTTGTATTTATTGCCAGTTAATCATAGTGTTTCATCCTAACATTTTTTCAGTTACAAGACAACATTTCTCATTTTTGTTTATATGGTTTTTGTATGTTTTTATCTCATATTTATATTTTGTTTTATTCCAGTTTTATTTCCATTAACAAAATTATTTTAAAAGTTTTTGTTAAAGATAATAACTCTGGTTTTGGAAGTCTAATAAATCCAATAAACTTTTCAAATCCTGCATTTTTTTTTCATGGTTTATTTTGACCATTTTCTTTCTACTTGGGATAATAAAAAAGATAATAATGAGGTCATATTCAATTTTGACTGACAAAAAAAATTGTGTGCTGAAAAGTCTTTACCAGGTCTGCTAGATTGGGTTTTGCGATCAGGTGCATTTGGCCCCCGTTTAGACCCGGCACTCATGGGGCGAGGTCTGGTGGGAGGGTGGGGTGAAACAGAAGGGGTCCGAGATCGTACCCAGGCCTGGGGAATGGGAGACTGGGCAGCCAGAAGAGGAAACTGTTTGGGAGTGAGACAAAATTTCTGTATATTTTATATAAAGATTAAATTTATATTATATGTATTATAGAAGATGAAATTGTATAATTTCATATAAACTTGAATCTGTATGTTGCAGGTCTCATTTATGATAATTAATTACCAGATTTTCTTTGAACTTGAACTTAAGTCAATAAAAAATGCTACTGAAAAAAACAAACGAATAGACACAATATAATTTATCTGGTCAAACATAAATTTTACTGATTTCTTGCTGTCAATGCAGAGCTCATAGGTTGATCCTCCATAGCCAAAGTGAAGCAGGTCTCCTGAAGAGAGAAGCACAGTGGCATTGTGTATCCGGCAGTCATTGACGTAGGTCCCGTGGGCAGAGTTTAAGTCATGGATAACATAGCAGCCGTCTGCTTCACACCAGTCAATAGTGGCATGACGTTCATCCACCCCACTATTCTGAGCAGATGAGATGAGAAACACAATGAATGTGTGAAACACTTGTGTGAATGTCCTCTCTAGTGACATGTCTAGTAGGAGTCCGTATGTCATAGGCTACTCAGTATAAGATCATCATCTCATCATGATGAATAACTCAAGCTTGAATTAATAACTGACATAATGACTGGACACACTGGGAAGAAATAAGGCTTAATACCTGTAGACAGAGGTCAGAGTCTTTGTGTCTTCCTATAGTGGTGCTTTTAGGCTGGAGTTTAAATATCCAGTTTAAAGTTTTGAGGTAACCCCTCATTTCAACCTGCTGACGAAATACAAATTGTTATCTTGTAAATAATATAGCGCTGAATGTACGTAACGTTTCACTCACTGACGCTTTCTGTAAAATGGTCATGCTTTGAAACCTCGGTTGATTGCAAGAAATATAATAGGTACAAGCAGTTTTATAGATTGCGATGATTTTCTATACAACTCACCAGTATACGTTTTCATCTGTCTGAACTGTGTACAACCCGGTTGCTCATAGGCATGATACTTGCTGTCTAATTAGGTTGTGTACAAGTGTCATGGTAACGTCAAGGAACTTGGAGCACCGCCTTCAACCCAGCGTGCAGTCGGTTCTGTCCGGGGTGAATGAATAGACGTTAATCTTCCGCCTTGGAAACGTCGGCGCGTTGTCAAAATAAATGAAAGAATTCAAGTTCTCAGTTTAAAATATGACGTTTCAGCACATATTATTTGATCTCCTTCTATTAAAAAATATTTTTCGAGAGGAATTAGTTTTTATGTCGCCCGAAAGTCAGTGTATTTTGGTGGTGCGAGGTAACACCCTTACGAAAATTAACCATGTTAACACAAATAAAACCAATAAAACATGCTTAAACTGTGGTAACCACAACATTACACTATGCTACACTAACCATAGTTTTATTTTTGTAAGGGCAGTTTTAAACAATATGTTTGACGTGTAAATAGGCTACTTCAAACTTACATTAATAAAACAGTTTTTAACGTTCAGACTAGGCTCTCCCAAGCCAACATTAAAGTTTGTCTACAAACTTTACTATCTGGACTACACTAGGCTACAACCCCAGCACATTTAGCTCCTAGCATAAAAGAACTATCTAAAATAGATATAATTGGGAAAATATCTAGAGTATGCAAGCAAATGGTAATACAAACACAGCGACAAAAAGTGGAAAAATAATGCTTTTTAATGTTTTTATTTTTTTATTCATTTAGGCCAAGCGCAGACAATAGTTGTTGAATAAATGTGTTTATTGATTCCACATTTATTTTGTTGTTGTTGATGATTATGATGATTTTGAGGTAACCACACTTTTCACTCTTTAATAAGAGGTCATCACCTGAAAAAGAAGAGGCTTGTTTAAATACCTGAATATCTGAAACAGGATATGTGAAAAGATGGTATGTGTTCATAAAAATACCAACAGGTTTATTAAGTATACTCACATTGTTGATCCAGGAAATGTAGCCAGACACACGGGTGAAGACGGAGGGCTTCTTGGGGTAGTTGCAGCCCAAGCTGGAGCCAAAACTCACAATACCGTGAACATCCCAGGTGCCGTCACTTCTCTGGCAGTTCAGAGGGCCACCAGAATCACCCTGTACAAGTGAGGTAACATCATTAGTGTACATTTTCACTCATACTGGTTATTAATAATGGAATATCAAAATACACACACATAAATAAAAAGTGTGCATCAAACCCACATTGCAGCTGGACACCACTCCGTCTCCACCAGCGCACACCATGAGGTTGGTCACAAGGTTGCCCCACCAGTCTGACCTAGTGCAGGTATTGTAGTCCACAACAGGGAGCAGAGCCTGCTGCAGGATATCAGCAATGGGGCCATTGGCTGAGGAGAGAAAAAGACAAAAGGGACCACTTTAAGAAAAAACATTTGTTGCTTGAAAATAAGTAAATAGCAGTGGAAAGGCACCTACTCCAGAGGCGTCCCCAGCCAGTGACGTAACAGGAGAAGTTGTGAGGCAGAATGCTTTCGGAATTAGGCAGGCAAGCAGGTGAAATCTTGTCAGTGAAAGTCACTGGACTTGACAACTTGATCAGCGCAATGTCATTGCTGGAAAACACACAAATATATCAAAAACACACTCTCAGATTAGTCTTTTTGTCCCCTACATTAAAATGAGATAAGGACCAACCGGATATTGTAGGAATCCCAGTTCTCATGCACTATAATCTTGGAAGGAGAGATGGCGAGAGAGCCGGACTCGCTGCTGAGTGCCAGATTGTGCTTGCCCAGGTAGACTCTGTAAGTGCGGCTGCTGCTTGACATAAGTTTAAGACATAGTTTGAGTCCATCTCATAATGTAGATCAACTTATGGAAACATTCATTGCATTCTTTTGATTATTTTGACCGTACCTAATGCAGTGAGCCGCAGTCAAAACCCACTGCTTATCGATCAGGGTGCCACCACAAGTGTGGTAAAAGCTGGAGCCGCTCTGGTACTGGAGAGACACCTGAAATTGATAAGGTAGAGAGTGTTGAAGTGAAGCTCATTTCAGTGCATTTAGTAATACAGTCTAAATTATTTCAGAATTATCATTACATATTTCTGTGTTTGCAAGAAAAATGGTGTAGAAAGAGTTTTCACTCAGAAACTGCTAGTAATTTTCACAATTAGTTATGAAAAATAGAAAGTAACACATTTAAGTAAACGATTTGTAAGTAGAATGACCAAAATCATTTCTTGTAAAATATACTACAATAAACTTTAAAAAAATAATTGTTATTATTTTTTCCAGTGCAATATTCACAATACCTGCCATGGCCAGCTGTTTGGGCTAACATCAGTTCCACCCACCACCCTTGAGGCGACAGGTTTATAGGTGGGCTGCCCACAACCGTAGGCTGTTTCAAGACACAACACACATGCACACACAATGATAAATTAAATGTCTTCTCGGGTTCATTAGGTGCAATGCATATCTTTGTGAGAAATGAGAAAGATATTCCTGCTCATTCCACTTCCACAGCTTAAGAACCAAAGTATAAAAGATTGGTTGAACTTTTTTTTTTTAGAGTTTTAAGTAGACAAATGTTCATCTTACCACCAGCAATGAACAGAGCCAAGATCACAAATTTCATGATTCCTGATTGCAGTGGTTACAGGAAAACACCCATCATTTATATAACTAACCTGGACCCGGACAGCAACACAGACCAGTTACATTTCCTGTAGCAAAGCACCGATAGCATTCCCAGTATCATTTAGCCTTGTAGATAAACATCCCAAAATATCAGTTATCTTACAGGTTTTATATATGCAGCCTGTGAAATGCACAGATGACATGCTGATATGAAGAGTAATCTCTTGCCAAAGCCAGATGGCTTTTTGTGCTTCTGCAGGTTTGATGTTGATATTTTTTTAGTGTTGTGAAGTTTCAGGATTAAAATAAATTTGTGGGGGGGGGGGAACTAAAAATATATAGTGCCATGTATTTTGGGTTGCATTTAAGATATTTACCTGAAGTACATGAAAATTAAAAGAAGAAAATAACTATAAAAAGAGGATTCTGCAGTCAAACTAAATATGAGAACAAACCTTCAACCTGTTAATCAACAGCAAAATTATTTTGATTAGACTCTACCATGTGAAATATTAAGGTCAAGGTGCACCAGAGAGCTATTTTTTCTTACTAGTTTTTCTCTAAAGCAATCATTCGTTCCTAAAGGCGAATTGAAAGTGAATTGGCTTGTATATAAACATGATGAAGTCTGTGCTCTTGGGTATTCTCGTTGTTGGAGGTAAGAAGTCCTCAAGACTGATAATATAGTCTGATTAATATTTTTTTCATTAATTGTAACCACAAGAACAGTCACATAACTATTGATTATCATAAAAATGCATATGGGTCAATGACATACAGTATAAGAGTGTTCATAAAGAAAAGGAAAAATCTCTTTAAAGGGAATTTAAAATGTAACTAAATCTAGTGTAGAATGTGTGAGTCAAGTTCTTAGAAATTTACTATTTATATTTTTTTCTTAAAACCATGCTGAGGTAAGTAGTAGTAAAACATTTTCTTACACCTTTAGTACATGTGAATGTACACACTTTAATCATAATTTTCAAAAAGTATTAAATATATTTTTCAAGGTAACAAGCATTTTTCATAAATATAATGAACTATTAATTCAATTTTCTTTCTTTTAATAAGCGTTTTTTCTTCACTATTGAAGGATCACGAGGATCCTCAAATGCAAACTGTGTGCTTTGCTTCAAGAGAGCAACCATATATGTGTGTTGTGTTTTACTTTCTTTTACATTCATTTATTCTTCATTCATTTATAATCGTTTATCATTTATTCATTTTATTATCAAGACAGTTGTATCAACCTAATATTTTTGACTTTGACTTTGATTTTTAACCCTTAACTGTCACCGTCCCACCTGTGGGATGCTTGGCACTCTTTTTTGTTGTTGCCCTTTTTCTCTATCAAATCTTTTAGTAATCATCATAAATCATATATAATTTGAAAGCTTAGAAGCCCAAAATTCATCCTGTGAAAACCATTTTGAAATCGGACATTGCGTTACCATGGAAATGGTACTTTAAAATCTTTTGGCGGTCTCCTCCCCCTTAGTGGGCGGTGTCAAGTGTCATATTACAAAATGCATTACGTTCTTTTACAATCAAAACGTTTTATAATCTTGACAAAAAAACATATCATTGGAAAGGTCTGAGTCTCAGGATTCCATATTTGGTGATTATTTTGAGATAGAAGTAATGTTGACAGAGAAATCTAGACATTTGTGATGCATAAAAAATTGAATGGAGTTTGGATGGCACCCGGTGGCTGTTTGTGGTATAACGCCCTAAATAAAATCTCACAGGAACCTACATTTTTTTCATATCAACTTCAAATTTGGAAAATAACTTATTTAGACATAAGGCTTTAATTTTATACCAATTTTAGAGTAAAACCTGTTATGTAAAATATTTATTATATATAAAATCAAATTAATATAGTGTAATTTCTTTACAGTAAATTTAAACTAGCATAACTTTTTGATACTTTAATTCTTTAAATAAATTCCAATTTTGCGATAATCTGCTGATTTTCTTCTTTAAAAAGAGGGGGGGGGGGGGAACTAAAAATATATAGTGCCATGTATTTTGGGTTGCATTTAAGATATTTACCTGAAGTACATGAAAATTAAAAGAAGAAAATAACTATAAAAAGAGGATTCTGCAGTCAAACTAAATATGAGAACAAACCTTCAACCTGTTAATCAACAGCAAAATTATTTTGATTAGACTCTACCATGTGAAATATTAAGGTCAAGGTGCACCAGAGAGCTATTTTTTCTTACTAGTTTTTCTCTAAAGCAATCATTCGTTCCTAAAGGCGAATTGAAAGTGAATTGGCTTGTATATAAACATGATGAAGTCTGTGCTCTTGGGTATTCTCGTTGTTGGAGGTAAGAAGTCCTCAAGACTGATAATATAGTCTGATTAATATTTTTTTCATTAATTGTAACCACAAGAACAGTCACATAACTATTGATTATCATAAAAATGCATATGGGTCAATGACATACAGTATAAGAGTGTTCATAAAGAAAAGGAAAAATCTCTTTAAAGGGAATTTAAAATGTAACTAAATCTAGTGTAGAATGTGTGAGTCAAGTTCTTAGAAATTTACTATTTATATTTTTTTCTTAAAACCATGCTGAGGTAAGTAGTAGTAAAACATTTTCTTACACCTTTAGTACATGTGAATGTACACACTTTAATCATAATTTTCAAAAAGTATTAAATATATTTTTCAAGGTAACAAGCATTTTTCATAAATATAATGAACTATTAATTCAATTTTCTTTCTTTTAATAAGCGTTTTTTCTTCACTATTGAAGGATCACGAGGATCCTCAAATGCAAACTGTGTGCTTTGCTTCAAGAGAGCAACCATATATGTGTGTTGTGTTTTACTTTCTTTTACATTCATTTATTCTTCATTCATTTATAATCGTTTATCATTTATTCATTTTATTATCAAGACAGTTGTATCAACCTAATATTTTTGACTTTGACTTTGATTTTTAACCCTTAACTGTCACCGTCCCACCTGTGGGACGCTTGGCACTCTTTTTTGTTGTTGCCCTTTTTCTCTATCAAATCTTTTAGTAATCATCATAAATCATATATAATTTGAAAGCTTAGAAGCCCAAAATTCATCCTGTGAAAACCATTTTGAAATCGGACATTGCGTTACCATGGAAATGGTACTTTAAAATCTTTTGGCGGTCTCCTCCCCCTTAGTGGGCGGTGTCAAGTGTCATATTACAAAATGCATTACGTTCTTTTACAATCAAAACGTTTTATAATCTTGACAAAAAAACATATCATTGGAAAGGTCTGAGTCTCAGGATTCCATATTTGGTGATTATTTTGAGATAGAAGTAATGTTGACAGAGAAATCTAGACATTTGTGATGCATAAAAAATTGAATGGAGTTTGGATGGCACCCGGTGGCTGTTTGTGGTATAACGCCCTAAATAAAATCTCACAGGAACCTACATTTTTTTCATATCAACTTCAAATTTGGAAAATAACTTATTTAGACATAAGGCTTTAATTTTATACCAATTTTAGAGTAAAACCTGTTATGTAAAATATTTATTATATATAAAATCAAATTAATATAGTGTAATTTCTTTACAGTAAATTTAAACTAGCATAACTTTTTGATACTTTAATTCTTTAAATAAATTCCAATTTTGCGATAATCTGCTGATTTTCTTCTTTAAAAAGAGACCAACCTTATGTCTGTATTCAAAACTGTTCAGAAATTACAACAATTTAGGTTTGGATAGTGCACCTGCATGCCTATTTTAAAAAATGGGGGGGTGACAGTTAAGGGGTTAAACCAAAAAATATTCAAATTAATTTTAATACAAAAATAAAAAATGCTCATCGTAGTATGTGTGAATTTCATTTTTAAAGTATATATTCTATTTTTTTCATACCAACTTCAAATTTGGAAAATAACTTATTTAGACATAAGGCTTTAATTTTATACCAATTTTAGAGTAAAACCTGTTATGTAAAATATTTATTATATATAAAATCAAATTAATATAGTGTAATTTCTTTACAGTAAATTTAAACTAGCATAACTTTTTGATACTTTAATTCTTTAAATAAATTCCAATTTTGCGATAATCTGCTGATTTTCTTCTTTAAAAAGAGACCAACCTTATGTCTGTATTCAAAACTGTTCAGAAATTACAACAATTTAGGTTTGGATAGTGCACCTGCATGCCTATTTTAAAAAATGGGGGGGTGACAGTTAAGGGGTTAAACCAAAAAATATTCAAATTAATTTTAATACAAAAATAAAAAATGCTCATCGTAGTATGTGTGAATTTCATTTTTAAAATATATATATATATATATATATATATATATATATATATATATATAATTTTTTTTTAATTATTATTCTTTTCTTACCTCAGCTTATGGATGTGGGCAGCCCAACTACCCTCCTGTTCTGTCAAGGGTCATGGGTGGTAAGGACGCACATAGCTGGCCCTGGCAGGTAGATACACATGTATTATTTTAAAGTGGTCATATGATGCTGCTAAAAAGAATATTTCTTGGCAAAAATATACAAACGTGATTGAGAGATGTACAAATAAACATTCCTCAATTTTTTTTTTTGTTTTTTTTTATAGGGTGTATCTGGGAAAACATAACCTGAAGGAGGAGGAGAATGGATCTGTGGCCATCGCCGCTGGAAAGATCTTTGTCCACGAGGGCTGGAATTCCTTCACTCTCTGGTACAGGGGCCAAAAGTCTCCTCACAAACAAAAGAGATGCATATCTTGAATAACTTGTGCAATGAATTAAATTTTCATGTTGTGTCTGGGCCGCAGTAATGACATCGCCCTGATCAAACTGGAGAGTGCTGTCACTCCAAGTGACACTATTACTCCTACATGTCTGCCTGCTGATGGGCATGTTCTGCCCCACAATGCTCCCTGCTATGTCACTGGTTGGGGATGTCTCTACAGTAAGTAATGTTGATGGTTATGGATGAAGTTGTGCTGTTAAACTCAACCGACTGCATGATTAGGAGATATCCAGACTTTTTTTTTGGCTTTTCTTCTCACCTACCTTTTTTTTCCACTGTCAATAACTAGCCAATGGACCCCTTGCTGATATCCTGCAGCAGTCTCTCCTGCCTGTGGTGGATTACACCACCTGCTCTAGGTCTGACTGGTGGGGCTCTCAGGTCACACAAAGCATGGTCTGCGCTGGTGGAGATGGTGTTGTTGCTGGATGTAATGTAAGGAGTTATTGATAGACTATTTTTCATCAGTCATTATTTGTAATCTCTGATTACAATTAACTTTAATTGGTGTAGCCAATTAAATGTAGCAATACAGGGCCATTCACACGGAACATTGTTTTCTATTCTACTATGCTACGTTTTCCATTGTTTTTCTATGGAAAAGAACGAGTCTCGAGACCTCGAAGCAGGGCTGCCCAACCCTGTTCCTGGAGATCTACACTCTTAAAAATAAAGGTGCTTCAAAAGGTTCTTCAAGCGATGCCATAGAAGAACCATTTTTGGTTCCACAAAGAACCATTCAGTCAAAAGTTCTTTAAAGAACCATCTCTTTCTTACCTTTTTATAATCTGAAGAACCTTCTTTCGCCACAAAGAACCTTTTGTGAAACAGAAAGGTTCTTCAGATGTTAAAGGTTCTTTATGGAACTATTTAGACAAAAAGGTTCTTCTATGGCATCGTGAAGCACCTTTATTTTTAAGAGTGTACCTTCCTGCAGAGTTCAGCTCCAACCCTGATCAAACACAACTGAACCAACTAATTAGGGTTTGAAGGAGCACTTAATAATTACAGACAGGTGTGTTTGATCAGGGTTGGAACTGAACTCTGCAGGAAGGTAGATCTCCAGGAACAGGGTTGGGCACCCCTGCCTTAAAGTCACCATGAAATCAAAATTGAAAATTCTTATTTTTTTTAATGGAATACTGTAGTGTTTATTATCAATAATTTATCCGTGCACTCCATAATTATTTTTTTTTAATTCATGTTCCCTCGTAATCTTTAATCAAAAACGTTAACCTCCCCTCCCCCTCAAAACGACTCATCTTCTCTTCCGGTCACGAGCTATGGCGCAAGGGCGGAGCTAGTAACATGAGGGGTAAACGCTGGGATAAACAACGGGGAAAAACTGAAGCTGATGCTTTACTTTATAGAAATCAATGCATTGACCAGTGCTGACGCAAGCCATGGGGGAGTACACTACCCTTAAAATTTAAAATAGCATATTACCACAACATTACTCGTAGGACATCGCAAACTATTTTTTTAATGAATATGACTTAACCTGATGGAGGATATGCGCTCAGTCATTCAGGCAGTCTCTCTCTCGCACGAGCGCTGTTAGGTATGTTTTGTGCCGTTGATCGTCCTCGTCGTCGTCTTCCTCAATAAATAAAAAATGTCTTCATGCTAGGGTGTCGGCGGTGAATCCAGTGGAGAGAATTCCCCCCACAACTAACTGCAAACTGGCATTCAGATCTGCCTCCATTTTGTTAGCAACGCCCCAACTTCCAAGGATCCAATCAATTCCCGAAGTACGAAATCAAGTCCCGCCCTCTCATTTCAGATGCCGTTTCACTACCGACAATTGCTACTTCCATTTCATGCCGACTTTAAGATTATTAGGAGACCTTAAGGCACAATATATAAGTTTTCGCTGCTAGAGGGCACGTATTCAAAACAAACAAAGAAACAAAGGCGTAGTTTGATGACGCGGTGACTGAGTGTGGAATCATGGGAGTTGTTGTCTTCATCCCCACAGCCGATGCAATCCGATGGGACTGGGGCAGAAATCATGTTCATGGATGAGCTAATGATTTATTAACGTCGTAGTAAGAAGCAGGGTGAGGCTGAAAGCCGTCGAAGCGAAACGAGGCCGCTGAACGAGCGTGACACACGGCTCGAAAGCAGCGGAGCTTTTATTATGCCACAGTCGACCGCTTCCGCTCTTTCCGGTATGTGGGGTAAAGCAGCGCTGTTTTATCATACTAGATACATTTGAAAGTTCTGTTATTATGCTACTCTGTGCGGTCGTCACCTGTCTAATAAAACGCATAACATATTAAAGCGTCTTTGGTGTTTCCATGTTTTCTACAAAACAAAACCGGAAATCGAGGGTGTATGACGTCATTGGCAGGCTACATAATGACACTATAGAATAGACACTAGTTAAAATTGCTTATTTCTCTGGATTTAAACATTCTTCGAAACATTTGGGATAATGTAAGTACACAAGTCAGCAAAATATATAACACTAGTGGTTTTGGTGTGAATGGCCCTTGAGTCAGTAAACATAGCTACATAACGCAGATCAACTTCAGATCAATAAGCAGGAATGCACGCAATTTGAAAACACGAAAAATCATATACTTGCCGACTTTGTACATGGTTACAGGGAGAACCCGGAAATCAACTGAACGCCCTCGTAATCTTTAATCAAAAACGTTAACCTCCCCTCCCCCTCAAAACGACTCATCTTCTCTTCCGGTCACGAGCTATGACGCAAGGGCGGAGCTAGTGACGTGAGGTGTAAACGCTGGGATAAACAACGGGGGGGAAAAACTGAAGCTGATGCGTCACTTTATAGAAATCAATGCATTGACCAGTGCTGACGCAAGCCATGGGGGAGTACACTACCCTTAAAATTTAAAATAGCATATTACCACAACATTACTCGTAGGACATCGCAAACTATTTTTTTAATGAATATGACTTAACCTGATGGAGGATATGCGCTCAGTCATTCAGGCAGTCTCTCTCTCGCACGAGCGCTGTTAGGTATGTTTTGTGCCGTTGATCGTCCTCGTCGTCGTCTTCCTCAATAAATAAAAAATGTCTTCATGCTAGGGTGTCGGCGGTGAATCCAGTGGAGAGAATTCCCCCCACAACTAACTGCAAACTGGCATTCAGATCTGCCTCCATTTTGTTAGCAACGCCCCAACTTCCAAGGATCCAATCAATTCCCGAAGTACGAAATCAAGTCCCGCCCTCTCATTTCAGATGCCGTTTCACTACCGACAATTGCTACTTCCATTTCATGCCGACTTTAAGATTATTAGGAGACCTTAAGGCACAATATATAAGTTTTCGCTTACAAACAAAATCTTGGCAAAATTTGTGCAGTGTGTTCCAGCCTTTAGGTAGACTAGATGTCATTTAAAAATAAATAACGTGATTTATTTTTAAATGACATCTAGTCTACCTAAATATGACAAAACGACTTATTTACTTAATTTAAATGATATTTAAGTCAAAAACTATAACTGAAACAACAAGCAAAATTAACATTGCCCCGTCACACAACACAGAGTGACTCTGGTGGCCCCCTGAACTGTGCTGGTAGCGACGGCGTTTGGGAGGTCCACGGTATTATGAGCTTTGGTTCAGGACTGAGCTGCAATTATAACAAGAAGCCCACTGTTTTTACTCGTGTGAGCACCTACATTGACTGGATCAGCAAGTGTTTTATATTAGCAAACATGTTGTAATAGCATGCAAATTAAGCTTTATGACAGTGTTTGTTATGGAAACTTCTTTAATACTGATTTTCCCCATAATCTCTTACAGAACATGGCCAACTGCTAAAGAGCAAACAGAAAATGGGTTTTGTATCATGATGCCTTAAACAATAAAAATATTAAACGGCACATATATGTATTTGCGCTATACATTACTATAATAAATTTATATAATAAACACCTGGTTTAAATGCACTTATGACCTATTTGATTTAGTAACTTTAGTACAAAGTTGTTGTTAGTGGTATTCAAAATGATAAGATCTCATAGCTCAATAAGTGACACTTCCATATACAGTCCGGCAGGTGGCATTGTGGTGTTATAATTGAAAGTGGTCCGTCCAGACAATTTTATGTGCAACGACACATTTGACTATAGTTTTGTTGGTGTTTTGCATTACAATTTTCCCCTAAATTAAAATATATCAGATTCAGAGTACAAATATAACCTCTGCTTTTGTTGGTATTTGTAACCAAGTGGTTATAATGAGTTATCAGAGGCATTTTGTTGTAACTGACAAAATTTATTGCATTTTTACATTCATCAATTTGAGTGCAAATGGTCCAAAACAGGAAGACAGCATGTGGCATAGTTTCAGTGTAAGCTGTTATTAAATATACTCTTGCATGCATACATATACATACAATAATACCAATAATAGAAAACTACCAAAAAGTGCCCATGTGCAGGTTTGTCGTCAAGCAGAGGGGACACACAATTAATGTATAATTTAGCCAAAGTCTCAATAACTAAATTTAGTGGTACATTTATACGAATATGTGAAAACAAATTATCTTTTTTATCATTAACAGTCACAGCAAACAATACAGAAACACTATTGTATCACATATTGCCACAAACAGTGCTTTAAATATTCAGTGCTGATAAAACAGATCTTCATCTTGGTCTACTGATACTGACTCACTGTGCAGCCACAGTGATGTATCTCGGCTCCATGTTCCCAAAGTAGGACTTCTCCCACTCGCTCATGAGGTCAAAATAAAGAGGCCGATCACAGAAGGTGCAGGAGGCCATAGCTGGTCCATTCAGCGGCAGTCCAACCTCCTGCCAGACTTCCAACAGTTTCTCTGTCCAACACAAAATATTATTAAAAATTCAGACTCAAATCATTACCAGTTTAAAATGTAACCAGTTTCATTTTCTCAAATCTGGATACATCCCTATGACAATGGCAGATGTCCGAGTGTTGCAGAAAATGAAACTGCTGTTCTGTTTAGTGGCACTAGTGGTTCAGAAATGAAACTCTTCACCTTTAAAGTGAAAAGAAATAGAGTTGACCATATTGCATGACCACTCACCAGCAAAATAGTTCATCATAATGGGATTGTGGAAAGGAGAAGGAGCCAGCCGCAACAGCTCTTCTCCACGAGGCACTGTTGGGTAATTTATGGCCTGCACATAGATGTTGTGTTTCTCCAACAGAATGTCACACACCTGAGAGTTTTTTGCTGCATTCCCAACCTGAAATAGCAGATTTAAGGTGTAAACATTTATGCCTGTGCAGACAAAGGATTTCATTCGAAATATATATATACAGTATATATAATATTTAATAACTAGACTGAACAGTTCACCCAAAAATGAAAATCATCATTTATTTACCCATGTCGCTAGAAACCCATAAGACTTTGGTTAATCTTAGAAACATTAAGATTAAGATATTTTTAATGAAACTGTGAGGTTTCTGTCCCTACACTGAAAGTCCAGGTAACCAAAATTTAGTAGATTCAAAAAGGCATAGTCATAAAGGCATTATAAAACAATTACATATGGATCGAGCAGTTTGGAATGAGGACATGAGGGTGAGTAAATGATGACAGAATTTTCATTTTTGGGTGAACTATCCCATTAAGGACATAATTGTTTTTGCAAACACTGACCCGAATGGGAATGATGTGGCTAGGGCAGTTGACCACAGGCAGTCCAGCGTCCAGCAGCAGCTGTCTCATGTGTTTGACGTTTCTCTGATGGGCTCTGCGCAAAGCTTGGCCTTCTGGGCTCTTCAGCACACGCACCGATTCCAGAGCCCCCGCCAGCACCATGGGAGGCAAGGAGGTAGTGAAGATGAAACCGGCGGCGTAGGAGCGCACAATGTCGACCAGGGCACCAGTGCTGGCTATGTAACCACCCACACAGCCAAATGCCTTACCTACAGGTATTTCAAACAATATTGAGTAAATAAGTTGATAGGCAAGAACACGGGTGAAATTACAGGATAGAATCATGCTGTGATCATGCATGCAATGATAGAATCATAGACCACACAACACAGAGTGACTCTGGTGGCCCCCTGAACTGTGCTGGTAGCAACGGCGTTTGGGAGGACTGAGCTGCAATTATAACAAGAAGCCCACTGTTTTTACTCGTGTGAGCACCTACATTGACTGGATCAGCAAGTGTTTTATATTAGCAAACATGTTGTAATAGCATGCAAATTAAGCTTTATGACAGTGTTTGCTATGGAAACTTCTTTAATACTGATTTTCCCCATAATCTCTTACAGAACATGGCCAACTGCTAAAGAGCAAACAGAAAATGGGTTTTGTATCATGATGCCTTAAACAATAAAAATATTAAACGGCACATATATGTATTTGCGCTATACATTACTATAATAAATGTATATAATAAACACCTGGTTTAAATGCACTTATGACCTATTTGATTTAGTAACTTTAGTACAAAGTTGTTGTTAGTGGTATTCAAAATGATAAGATCTCATAGCTCAATAAGTGACACTTCCATATACAGTCCGGCAGGTGGCATTGTGGTGTTATAATTGAAAGTGGTCCGTCCATCTGGGCTCTTCAGCACACGCACCGATTCCAGAGCCCCCGCCAGCACCATGGGAGGCAAGGAGGTAGTGAAGATGAAACCGGCGGCATAGGAGCGCACAATGTCGACCAGGGCACCAGTGCTGGCTATGTAACCACCCACACAGCCAAATGCCTTACCTACAGGTATTTCAAACAATATTGAGTAAATAAGTTGATAGGCAAGAACACGGATGAAATTACAGGATAGAATCATGCTGTGATCATAGCATCATAGACCGTATCTGTCTTACCCAGAGTTCCAGAGACAATATCGATCTTGTGCATGACGTTGTCTCTCTCTCCTACACCTGCTCCGTGAGCCCCATACAGTCCGACAGCATGGACCTCATCCACAAAAGTCAGAGCTCCATATTTATGTGCTACGTCACATAGATCTTCTAGAGGGCAAATTGCACCTGAAACAAATTGAGTTATTTTTCAAGTGTAGAAATGCACTATTATCAGTTGACAATGATTAATTTATTCCACAAGCCAAAGTGTCTGATAAAAG